AATTCATTAAAAACCATCCTAACCATCCAAGCTTTCACTCCAGTGAATCTGGATTCACTCCAGTGAATCTGGATTCACTCCAGTGAATCTGGATTCACTCCAGTGAATCTGGATTCACTCCAGTGAATCTGGATTCACTCCAGTGAATCTGGATTCACTCCAGTGAATCTGGATTCACTCCAGTGAATCTGGATTCACTCCAGTGAATCTGGATTCACTCCAGTGAATCTGTTTAAACAAAAAGAATAAGAAACTTATGGTAAAAAACAAGCTATAAAATTTTAAACCATGAAAAGATTTCACCTTTTACAGCAAAAAATTACGCTTTTTATGGTAAAAAACAAACAACTCACATACTGAATCTGATTCACTGCTGTGAATCGAGATTCACTGCAGTGAATCTAGATTCACTTATGCAAAAAATTACGATTTTTATGGTAAAAAACAAACACCTCACATAACAAGATGTTGAAGACAGAGAGAGAGTTGAGCGAACCTTGGAGGGTTGACGGAGCGGATCTACGGGTTCGGCGTTGGCGTCGTCGGAGGTGGATGATGGCGAGGTGGCAGGGGGTGGAGGAGCTCGGATCTGGGTTGTTTGATGGTGAGAGAGAGGAAGAGAGAGAGGGTTGGTTCAAGCTTTTGGGAAATGGAGGAGAGAGAGAGAGGAGAACGTGAGAGGATTGGCTTTTAGTGGTTCAAGCTTTTGGGAAATGGAGTAGCATTAATTACCTCTCTTTAGTGGGCTGTTTATTTTACCTTATTACCCTTATGCAGCTTTAATCTCAGCCATTGGATGAATCTAGATCCAATGGAGAGGAGAGGTTTTTAGTTTTTAGGATAGTGAGGTTTGTATTTGAACCTCTCCCTATATATATATATATATGTATATATATATACATATATATATAAAAAGAGAAGTGAGAGGAAAGAAATGTGTATGCTGTACCAAGCACAAAAAGTGTATGCTTGTTAGTGGAGGTGGCATATTCCCATCCACTCATTCAAATCATAACATATCCACATGCATTTCTCACCGATCGTGATGTGGTCCCCCATTTAGACGATTGGAGGGTGATTGTGCCACTTAACTACCAAGCATAAAAATTTGGCTTGGTACCAAATATTACCCATATTCCAGTATTAAATATATTATATATATATATATTTATATTATATATATATAATATATAATATATATATTTATATATAATATATATATATATATATATAATAATATAATATAGGTATATATATATTTAATTACAATAGTATAGAGAGAGAGAGAGAGAGAGGAGCAGAACAGAGAAGAGAGAGAGGAAGAGAGAGAGAGAGAATGGGAGGTGAGCTGCAGGCGTAGAGAATTCCTACCTCGCACACGTGTATGACATGATGAGCCCACACATATGACAGTAAGGGGCTCACATGTCATACACTTGGCATGCCGTAGGATAATTTCCTACGCGAGCCAGCCTCACGCGCCGTTTTCCTCATAATTAGTATATATATATATATATATATATAGTATATATATATATAATATATCATATATATATATATATTATCAGTAACATATATAATATATATAATGAGGGTTTTTCCTTTTTATACACCTATGTGGCACAGATCCCAATAACTCACATTCTCCTCTCCTACTTTATGAGGATGGTGAAGATATGCACATAACGTCAAGAGAGGGAAATCCCCTTCATTGACAATGATACCCATTAATATATATATTAATATATATTATATATATATATATTATATATATATATATAATATATATATATATAATATAATATATATAATATATATATATATATATATATATATATAATATATATATAATATATATAATATACTATATATATATATATATATATACTATATATATATGCGAGAGAGAGAGAGAGAGAGAGAGAGAGAGAGAGAGAGATAGAAATGAGTATGCTTGGTACCAAGCACAAATTTTGTGCTTGGTAGTGAGGTGGCACAATCCATTCCATTCATTCAAATGGGGGAACACATTCACATGAGTTGAGGAATGCATGAAGATATGCAACTATTTGAATGAGTAGAGAAGATTGTGCCACTTCACTACCAAGCATAATTTTTTGTGCTTGGTATCAAGCATACCCATTTTTTCAATATGAGAAATATGAGTATACTTGGTACCAAACATAAATTTTGTACTCGGTAGTGAGGTGACACAATCCCCTCTACTTATTCAAATGTGGGACCATATCCACATGAGTTGAGGAGTGCATTGAGATATGCAACCATTTGAATGAGTGGAAGAGATTGTGTCACCTCACTACCAAGCATAACTTTTATGTTTGGTACCAAACATATCCATTTTTCTTATAATCAGGTTTTTATCATTATATGGATCAATCTAAAGTAACAGTTTAACAATTCATTATGATGAGATTTAATGATGTCTTTTTACTTTGATATCTCAAGTAATTTTTTAAACACTTAACTGCTACAAATTTCAATTCCGTTTCACTTTGATATCTTAAAGTATTTCTCACGCATCTTTTAGATACAAATTTCAATTCCATTTCACTTTGATATCTTAAAGTATTTCTCACGCATCTTGATATCTAAAAGCTTTAATCACGTTTCACTTTGATATCATGTCCAAATTCCACTAGATTTCATGTTAAATTCATATCAAGTACTTAAGAATCGAGTGTTAAACACTTGATATAAATTTAATAGAAAATGTAATAAGATCCATACATAGATATTAAAGTGAAATGAAATTGACGTTGGAGTACCTAACAAAGAGATATTGAATTGAAATATCAGGATTTCAATGTGTTAAAAAACTTTAAGACATCTAAGTGAAAATGTGGGTAAGCTTCGTCCGTACCAAAGTGAAGATGAGTCAAAAGGAAAACATAAATCTTTCTTCTTCATTTAGTCAAAGTCATACCATTGAAGGGTTAAATGTAAGTCTCTTAAATCACCCTTTATTGCAAATTAGTTTCTTACATTTTAGTATTTGCTCATTAGTCCCTCGAATCTTTATTGCTATTACAAATTCTTCCCTCTTGTTAGGTAATGTTACTTATCAGGGTGAAATTCTATTAAAATTATGGAAATTGATGGTTTTTCAGTAAACCCCTATAATTCACCCTATCATTTTAAAACCTCACTAACCAGTTTTATAATAGGTCATACCCACAACCCACTCAAAATAAAACTCAAGCCCACCAACTCACTCAAAATAAAACTCAAGCCCACCAACTCTTTCCTTTTTCAGTGGCTACGAACTTTCTCAAACCCCATCCAGAGATATTTTTTTTACCAAAAAAACTATTTGGCTCGCGGACCATAAAACTCAAGCCCACCAACTCTTTCCTTTTTCAGTGGCTACGAACTTTCTCAAACCCCATCCAGAGATATTTTTTTTACCAAAAAAACTATTTGGCTCGCGGTTGGACCGCGAGCCAAATAGCAATGCTCTTTTTTTACCGTCCCCTTCGTACAGCGGAAATGAACTTTTCGTACGACAATTAGGTAATTCTATATATTGGATTAAGGGTTAACCCAACTAGAGTTAGGGGAACTTTTGATGCATGAGTTCCCAACTGGGGGTTAGGGCTAATCTTGAGAGCTTACGGTCCCTTGACCTCCTTTGATGGTTTGTAGAAGAGGATTTAAGACTGACTATTAATTCTCTCTTAAGTTGTGAGACATATGCAATAATTGTGGTCCAGTAGGCAAAGGTTGCATACCTTCTCCCTACCCAGTTGTGATCACAGACTTGTCATAACATAGACAACACACCCGTGCCGGACATACACACCACCCACGGACAAAAAAAAAAAAATGATTGGGGGTGTTGATGTTACTTTGGTCGAGTCCAAGAAGGTAGCTGAGTCAGCAGCTATTTTTTAGATATCGACTGCAGATGAGATGAGTTACATATGCGTTTAATGTGATTGTGACTAGGGAAGCATGATGCTGATGAATTCTGATGAGTTATAAAGACTTTTAGGGTTAAAACAATGATGATTCTAACTATGCATCCACTATGACAGTGACTGGCTGTTTGCGGGTAGTTCGAAGGCACACCGCCTCTCGACTCGACTTTGCGAGTGGACCGACAAAGGACGCCTTTTGACTCGGGAATCTCGGATTGGGAGGTTCTTGACCTAGTCTTGCCAAACGAAGAGGCATGAGATCGTCCTGAATTGAGGGGCTCAAGGGAGGACACCTTTAGACTCGACCTTTCTCGTAAGGGTCGAGTGAAGACATTATTAGACTCGTCCCGCCTAGGGTCGAGTCGAGGTGATGCGTAGCCAATTTGGGACAAGAGTCGACTCCTGGTGGAAAATTAACACTTAGGGGCTGTTTGGTTCCATGTTTTTAAGGGAAAGTTTCTATTGAAAGCCTGCCAAAAGTGCCAAAAGTGTCACTTTTTGGCAGGCTTTCAGCCAAAATCTTCTTTTTTAGGGGTGATTTGGGCTGAAAGCCTGCCAAAAAGTGACACTTTGGCAGGCTTTCAAGAGAAAAAAATTCTAACCAAACAGCCACTTAGGTCATTTTATATGATAACAGAAACTTATTAGGAATTCTAAGGGCATCTCCAACCCATCGTACCAAAATGGTGCAAATTTTGCACCAAAATGGTGCAAAAGTCACATCTAACAGTAATTCATTTCCAACCCATTGCACCATTTTTACACCAAAAAGGAATATTCTCAGTATCTTTCTTTTTATCTACTTTTATATGATTATTTCTTATTCCCTATATTTTTAACTATTTCAACAATTAACCCCACATATCAAATTTTATTTTTTTCACATATTTTCCAAATAAAATGATTTATTATTTAAAAAATTAAACTAATAAAACAATAAAATATTATATTTTTATTATTAATATTGCCAAAATATTACATTCAAGAACACAACAGAAAATAAAATGCAAGAAAATAATTAAACATTAACAACAATGTAAAAATTACAAATTTAGTATGCTCTTAACTATCTGAATTAGTGTATTCCTCCCATAGATGATCTATCAATGCATTACGAAGCGCAATATGAGCATCTTTATCCTTGATTTTTCCGTAACGTGCAATAAATTGAGTAAATCTTGTAGTTTCATCTGCTACCATATCAACTTCTGGTATTGGTGCTTCCCTCACTTCTTGAATTGGTGCATAAAGATCACGTTCATCCTCGATTATCATATTGTGCATAATAATGCATGCAGTCATTATGTCATGTAATACATGTTTTTTCCAAAAACGTGCTGATCCTGCCACGATTGCAAATCGTGATTGGAGAACTCCGAACGCACGTTCTACATCTTTTCTACATGCTTCCTGTTTCATGGCAAAATATTTTTTCTTCCTACCTTGTGGCTGTTGGATTGTTTGTACAATAGTAGCCCATTTCGGATATATACCATCAGCTAAATAATAACCCATATTATACTCTTTTCCTTGAATAACATAGTGAGCGGGAGGAGCAATACCTTGAGCTAGGTTAGAGAAAAGATTAGATGACTCCAGCACATTGATATCATTATTGGTGCCTGGCATACCAAAATATGCGTGCCATATCCAAAGATCATAATCTGCCACAGCTTCGAGGATAATAGTTGGTGACCCACTACGTCCTGTGTATTGCCCAGACCATGCTGTTGGACAATTTTTCCATTTCCAATGCATACAATCAAGACTTCCTAACATTCCTGGAAAACCACGTTTTTTTCCAATATAGAGTAGCCTAGCAATATCGTTAGCGTTAGGTGTTCGTAGATACCGCTCTGCGAATATTTCCACCATAGCACGACAAAATTTTGTCATACTTTCAATTGCTGTTGACTCACCTATTTTAATGTATTCGTCCGTAGCATCAGCTGGTAGACCGTATGCCAACATGCGAAAAACAGCTGTTACTTTCGTAACGGTGATAATCTCATTCTACCAAGTCCATTACTTCGTTGTTGGAAGTAATAGTCATGATCTTTCACTGCATCAACAATACGAAGGAACAAACTTCTTGACATCCGATATCGACGACGAAACATATCTTCTCCAAAACGTGGATTATCGGCAAAGTAATATATGACCAAATTCTGATGCGTATTTTCTCGATCGCGGTTGATCACTGCATGACCGAGAATCGAGCCACCATGGATCGGTTGGTAGTTGTGTTGACGTAAATTGTTAACGAGGATCATGTTGTTGTTGATGTACTCACAAATTACTTCTTCGGTTTCATCAATCTCTACAATGATATTGGACAGAAAATTATCATCATCCGAAGATGAAGATGATGATAAGTATGATGGACCTCCAACATCGAAATTCATTTTTGAAGTAAGAAAAGAATGACTGAAGTATGCAGAAATGGTAAATAATAATTTTAACACAACAACGAGTAATTGTGTGGATGTACCTAATCTAGTATGCTATTTATAAACTTTGCTTAGCTGTATACATTGAACAATGTGTAAAGTTGAGCTGATTTTAGGAAATGTTTTCCAGCTATTATCAATTTGTCACAAAATTCAAATTTGCTTTTAGCTATATACGTTGGACAATGTGTAAAGCTAAGCTGATTTCAAAAATTGATTCCCACTCGTATAAAGCTTTCACACAATTCAAGGAAAGCTGAGTTGTGTATACGTTGGACAATGTGTAAAGCTGACCTGATTTCAAAAATTGATTCCCACTCGTACAAAGCTTTCACACAATTCAAGGAGAGCTGAGATGTGTATACGTTGGACAATGTGTAAAGCTAACCTGATTTCAAAAAATGATTCCCACTCGTACAAAGCTTTCACACAATTCAAGGAAAGCTGAGCTGTGTATACGTTGGACAATGTGTAAAGTTGAATTGATTTCAAAAATTGATTCCCACCGACAACTTTGGATAATGTGTAAAGCTGATCAATTTGTACAAAATGATTCAATTTCAAATGTTGACCACCGACAAATTCAAACCAACAGCAAATTCAAATTCAAACAAAAAAAACAAATTTGGATTGGCTATAAATAACATTCACGAATTCTACTTCAAACCACCCAATTCGAAGTATTTCTTCAAAGTATTTCTGATCTCCAAACCAACCGCTTTTTACAAAAAAAAATATTTGTTCGATCATCTGGATACACTATTACTGAAGATGTGCTCCTTTGTCAAGTATTCTTGGATATTTCTCAAGACCCTATTATCGGTAGAAACCAGTCTCGAGATGCATTTTGGTCTCGTGTGGAGGACAAATACAATGAACTTCGAGATCAGCATTTTGAGATGCGTGTGAGCCGACGTTCTCGAATGGAAATCATAAGTAATGAAGTAAGGAAATTGAATGCGTGCTTGAGACAAGTAGAGAATCTGAATCCAAGTGGTGCTTCAGATGAAGATATTGTAAGTATTCTATTAATTATCGTTTGAATTTTATTATTATTGTTGAAATACATAACTTGATGTTCACTATAATTTACAGTTAGTTCGAGCAAAGATGTTATTTATGCAAGAACCAAAATACAAAAAAAGTTTCAAATTTGATCATGTCTGGAATATGGTTAAAAATTTTGAAAAATTCAAAGATGATGTCCCCACAGCAAGACAAGTTGGTCGAAGACAATCCCAAAGTGTGAACTTCGACTCGTCACAATCAGATAATCCCACTCCGGAATCTCCTATATCAACATCTCCCGGACTGTCATCATTTACTCCATCTGAACGACCTATTAGGGTAAAAAAAGCTAAATTGAAAAGGAAAAATGATGATCATGAGTCAAGTGTAGTGGACTCCATCGAGACCTCCAACAATCGACTTATAGACAGGTTAGACAAGGCGAGCTTGGACAGGCAAGAAGCATTTGATATCGAACGAGAAAAGATAGCCATGAAAAAAGATAGAGATGAATGGAAAATTATAATGAAAGATTTGAATTCCATTGCTGATCCAAACGTGCGTGAGTACGTTCGAGCTCAACAGATTAAAATAATACAAAAAAGAAATCAACAAGAACAAGGGTCTGCTTCTAATTTTGGCAATTATTTCAATGATATTGGACACTCTGGCCCCGATCTACCAGATTATTGAGAGTTGCTTGTCCATCTTAAGTAACGTCACCATGTTTAGTTTGTATTTTATGTTTTATTTTAATGAAGTTTTATATTATGTGTGTCAGTTTTTATATGTTATGTATTTCAGATATGTAATTTATATTTGAATTATGTATTGTGATTGCTCTTTATATTTCATGGGACTTTACTTATAATGTCTAGATTTTGATATTATAATTAATAATAATGTCCGTTAAATTTTAGCATTTTTTTATTTTTAAAAAATAATTTATTTTGTCCAAATTATACAATTGGGGTAAAATTATAAAATTTAAATATTATTGGGGTTGTTTTATATATTTAATGAAACAATTGGGGACAAATTGTAAATATATAAAAGTATGAGGTATAAAAAAAATTGAAAAAAAAAACAGTAATGGGGAGATGAACAGTGCGACGCCAAATATAACGTCGCGCTGTTCATCCCCGTCAAAATGCGGTAATAACTGCTGCTCGGTTGGAGCTCCCACGCAGCAGCATTTTCACTTTTTGCCTCAAAATGCCGCTGCGTTGGAGATTGTCTAACAGATGGACGACAATCATATTAAAAAAATGACCATTTGAGGGACTAATGAGCAATCACAGGTATTTTAAGGACTTAATATGCAGTTAACCCAACATTAAAGCCCCCACAAAACCCCACATTGATTCCGCTTCCCCAACTCAACGCCCCCTCGATATGGACGACGACGATTCCACCCCCAAACCCCAACGCGCCACCATCAATGTCAACAACATCCCCCGCTCCGCCACCGCCACGAGCTGGTCGCCTTCTTCTCCTCCGCCATCGGCCCCGTCTTCGCCTGCAAGATCTCCTCCGTCCACACCAACTGGAAATCCCTAGGCTTCGGCCGCGTCCAGTTCGACTCCATCTCCTCCGCCCAAAAAGCCATAGCTTTCTCCAACACCAACCCCCTCCTGTTCCAGCGATCCCCTCTCTCGATCGCCGAATCCCACGCCGACATCGTCCCGAGAGGCACCGGCGACCGTCGGTTCGATGATGTGGTGATTAGGTTTGGGAATGTGAGGGATGAGAGATCGATGGAGGTTTTGGGGGAGTGGAGAGGGGTTAGGGTTGAGGTTGTGGATTTTAGGGGAGGGATGATGATGGCGATTTCCTTGGAGGATGGAGGGGAGGTTTATAAGCTTGAGGTTCCGTTTGGGGATGTTGTCAATAGCTTTGCGTGTCGGATTGGGAACGGGATGGAGCACAATGCTGTTCTTTTGCAGGTGAAAATTTGACTTGGTTTTCTTCGGTTTGATTAGCTAAAGATTTGATCTTTGTGTAGTTTTTTCTGGAGGTTTGATGCTGTGCATGTTGGAAAGACATCAGCTTGATCCTGTGAATAGGATGATTGTTGCAGATTTTTGTTGAATTTGTGATGAGTTCTGTTCAGGAAAATCCTACACTTTAGTTGCCTTTAGGAAGGCCACGAGGTATCCACAGTCTACAAATGACTCTGGCAACATCATACTTTGTGTGTCTTTACTTTTGGTTCCAATAGTTAAAAGAGTTACTGTTGATTTTTCTGATAACAAAAAGAATCTTATAACGCCTCACAATGTTGCATTTGGTTTTATTCAAATACAAGTGATGGACACTCAAAAGTAATTTCCTGACGCAGAATGCTATAAGTTATATACTACTCAATTGTTTCTTTATTTTCTCTAACTCTTGTTTCTTTCTTTGACGTTTACTTTTTACCTAATTAGTCATATGTACTGATAGCTAAACTATCCCTGTGATTTTCAGCTCCAGTATGCACCAAAAATATATCACAGGATTTGTGGGCCTTCTTTGAATACAAAATTCAATAGTGCCCGCTACCATTTTTGTAAAGAAGATGTTGAGTTTCTTTGGGTTCGTGCACCTGATTTCTCAGCAACAAGTGTCATCGGGAGGTCTTATTATCTTTGTTTGGAGCTTGCAAATGGGTTATCATCTTCAAAAATTATCAAGAGTCTACCATTTTTTGGAGAATTGGGTAACCTAATGCTCATGCCAGGGGAAGTGTTCTGTTCGTCATCAAAACTAGTTCCTATTTTAAACTGTCCAGGTGATTGTACAGTGTCGTATGAGGTCCTTTTTCAACTCAATTCACTGGTTCACTTGCAAAAGATCTCCTCTGCACATGTTAACTCGAATCTGTTTAGTGTTCTCAGTCAACTATCTTCAGATACCGCGATAAAGATCCTTATGATGATGCATAAGTTGAATTCAACATGCCACAAGCCCATATATTTCATTCAAAATCATCTCTCTCGCTTTGGAAAGCAGCAGAGTTTGTCATCTGACGGAAATAGACAAGAAAAGTTAATGAGCTGTCGTAGAGTTCTTATAACTCCTTCAAAAGTTTACTTTTTGGGCCCCGAGTTAGAAACAAGCAATTATGTAGTAAAGCATTTTTCTGCATATGCTTCTGACTTCCTTAGAGTTACTTTTGTTGATGAAGATCGCTGCAAGCTTCCTTCTCAAGCAATATCGACGAGGATTGGCAAAGATATATTTTCAAAACCCTATAGAACTGGAATTTACAATCGCATACTATCTGTTCTGAGGGATGGAATATCCATTGGCTCAAAGAAGTTTGAATTTTTGGCATTTTCTGCGAGCCAACTTCGTGATAGTTCTATTTGGATGTTTGCTTCTAATGACTTTGTGACTGCCAGCTCCATTAGAGAATGGATGGGTCAGTTCAACGAAATCTATAGTGTTTCTAAGTGTGCAGCGAGAATGGGTCAACTATTCAGCTCATCTACTCCGACATTCAATGTCCCATCCCGTGAAGTCAAAGTTATTCCAGACATTGAAACTAACACTGATGGCGTCAAGTATTGCTTTTCAGATGGTATAGGAAAAATATCTGTACCATTTGCCAAGCAAGTTGCAAAAAAGTTGGGACTTAGTAATACTCCATCAGCATTTCAAATTAGATATGGCGGGTATAAAGGGGTTATAACCATTGATCGCACTTCTTTCTGCAAGCTTTCTCTGAGGCCAAGTATGTTAAAGTTTAAATCAAACAACACTATGCTCAACGTGACAAAGTGCAGTGAGTCCCAGCCATGTTATTTGAATCGTGAAATCGTGATTCTCCTATCTACATTAGGAGTAGATGATGAAATATTTGAATTGCTGCAACATGACCAGATGCGTCTTCTAGATAACATGCTAACAAGTAAAGAGGCTGCTTTGAGAGTTCTAGGTAGAATGAAAGGCTCTGCAATCAAAACAGCTCTAAAGATGTTAATGCATGGTTATGCACCAGATTCAGAGCCTTATCTTCTGGCGCTGCTTAAAGCTTATAGGGAATATCAGTTATCTGATATAAGAAGTAGATGTCGGATATTTGTTCCAAGAGCCCGTGTTCTAATCGGGTGTTTAGATGAATTAGGCACACTAGAGTATGGCCAAGTGTTCTTGAAAGTGTCAATGACGGACGAAGAGCTTCAAAATCCTGATCAAGCTTTTTTTACAAAAGTGGACAGGTCAACAGCAGTAGTAGTTGGGAAGGTTGTGATTACAAAAAATCCCTGTCTCCACCCTGGGGACATTAGAGTAGTAGAGGCTGTTTATGACCCCAAGTTGGACAATATGGGTTGGGTTGATTGCCTTGTCTTCCCTCAGAAAGGACAGAGGTAAGGTTGATGCTACATAGTTTCTTACTAGTGGTTAAAGGGTGTTGCATATTTACTGAAAATAAATATCTACTTGAATAATTAAGTGTGCATGAATTAGAAAGCATGTGCGAGGATAATGTTTAACATTAAGGCTTCGGTCGCTACTTGCCCCCTAAACTATCAAATTTGTCCCTCCACATACTCCTTAAACTATTTTTGGTATCCGTTTGCCCCCTAAACAACTAATATCATTCCTTCTTACCCCCCTTGAACGATTTTCAGTCTCACCTTGACCCTTGAACTGACACTTTCTCTTATAAATCCATTTAAAACACACAAAATAAAACGAAAGTGGTAACTAAGTACTGAAAGTGATAAGGGGTAAGCTGGGACGAATTTAATTGTTTAGTGGACGAGGTCGAACCGGAAAATAGTACAGTGTAAGCAAAAGACGAATTCAATAGTTTAGGCAGCATGTGAGGACTAAAAATAGTTCAGAGGCAAGTAGGGACAAATTTAATAGTCAAGGGGGCAAGTAGGGTCTGGATCCTAGCATTAATTAACAAGCCTGGAAATGAATGGTGCACAATTTATCTACTTATTAATGCATCATGCCATCTGTTCTGTTTCTAGTGCTAATATGTATTCATTACTGTTTAATTGATATGTCTTTTCTTGTAAGCGTTGCAAAGCTAATTAGGAAATCAATTGGGAATTGTTCTGCTTTTGGATTCCTAAGATACTGGAACTAATATTTACATATTTAAATGTTCTAGACATCTGGGTAAAGTATCCTTCTGTATAATCTTCACTAATTGTATTATGGATACATCAAATCATACTTAAATGCATGAAATTGGGCAACATTTTTCCTAATCATACTTACATATTTAAATGGTTGCTGGATTTGGAACTTTACATGAATGCATGAAATTGGGAAACACTTTTACGGAAAGCTAGAATCAGAATTCAGCAATCCGTTATGATTTTTGATGATCAGGAAACATTTTCACAAGAAGCTAGAATTATGGACTAGCAATCTGATATATGGTTCTCTATAATTAGGAAACATTTTCACAGAAAAGTAGAACTAGAATTTAGCAAAATAAGGTTTTGTCGTGGTTTTAGATAGTCCGTCACTTAGAGCAGACTAAAATTGATGGCAATTATATGCCTAGATCCATTAATTTATTTATTTTTTAATTAGTTTAACTTTGTTTACAAATAGTCAGAAGGCTTGTCATTCAGTTAAATAAAAAATCCTCAGATCTAAGCTCTTTTGTGATGATTTATGTCATTTAGGAACTTGAACTTGTCATCCTATTTGAAACCCAAATTTGAAACCGATATCCCAGATTGATGATAATATCTCCATAGAAAATTTTTCTCTGGCTAATTGTATTTATTCAAATTTTTTGAGTAAAGACAAATATCTGAGTATTCTTTAATAATCATTGCAGTTTTTTATACTTTGAATGAAAATGGTAAGGTGCAGTGATTACCTATTAGCAGTTGAAGATAATACCATAATAGGAACACATCAAGACATGTTCCATGGTGTTGCTTGCATGGACACATTTCACCATTTCAAATCACCTCAATATTGGTGGGCTTGTCCACCAGAAAGTTTGTCTGAGGTTGAATGTCCCACGGTGGCTTCCAATGTCCTCAGAAATATGTTGCTAGCTTAATGAAAATATAATGTCAACACTTATCATTGAAGCAACACTTTTGAAGGCTTCATTACACGCATGGTCTAGCTGTGCTGAAATAATTTATGGACATCATAACTATATGATCTCATTAGCAGTTTAAATCATATTATGCAGGCCTCATCCAAATGAATGCTCGGGGGGAGATTTAGATGGAGATTTGTTTTCCATATCCTGGGATGAAAGACTTATCCCATCAAAGACTGTAGCACCGATGGATTACATTTCTAGAAGGCCACGCCTAATGGATCACAAAGTTTCACTAGAGGTTTGTTCAAAGAATCCAATTTTAAGTTGCAAGTAATTCATAATAAAGAGTGAGCTTTCTTTAATTATATTGCTTATCAAGATCACTCTAATTCTTATCATTATACGCTCTGAGCTGAGTGAAGGTACTCCTAAATTTCTGCTTTGTTTTAAGAAGGGTTACAGGGGGTTGGTTTTACACATAACTCCCTTAAACTGTGTAACCCCCCCCCCCCCCCCCCCACAAAAAAAAAAAAAAAAAAAAAACCCAAACTCAAAAACAAAAAAAACAAAAAAAAAGGAAAAAGAAAAAAAAAGAGAGAAAAACCCACAAAAAAAACCCAATGGAACTTCGAGGTGTCTTACAGACCAACTTTCAAGTTTTCTCACTGGAAACCCCTACTTGTAATTGGCACTAACGTTTCCTTGAGAGAGAAACCCCTTAATTTGGGGAGGGAATGTACGTTGCCTGCAAATAGCAAATGGCTAAATTGGGGATTTTTTTCTGTAAAGAACATTGTATTTATTTGTCAAATACAGCTAGCGGATCCGGTAAGAAAAGTTGAAAGTTCAAGGGGTTTTGTGAGACATCCAAATGTTCAGGGGAATTATGTGAGATGAAAAAAAGTTCAGGGGTTATGTGAACACCCTAGTTTTTTTTGGTGCAGGGGGTGGGGTGGTGATGTTAACCTTTTAAGAATTCAGCCAGATATTCGCTTTATACACTTTGTTTTAGAGTTCATTTATAGCATCTTTTCAAATAAAGGTCTGTTAGCTAATTATGTATATGACTGCAGGAAGTTCACAAGTTCTTCATCGACTACATGCTAAATGACAATCTGGGCGCCATCTCAACAGCCCACTTGGTCCATGCCGACAACGAACCAGACAAAGCCCTGAGCACTAAATGCCTTAAGCTTGCTAATCTTCACTCAATGGCAGTAGACTACGCCAAAACAGGAGCCTCGGCTGAAATGCCAAGTGGACTAAGACCCAAAAGGTTTCCAGACTTTATGGAAAGAGCAGAGAAGCCCAGTTACAAGTCAAGTGGAGTCCTGGGCAAACTCTACAGAGCAGCCATCAATCCCCATAACATCAGCCAAAACATTATTTGTGAAGAAATTCCTTATGACTATGATCTTGAAGTAGATGGCTTCGAAGAATTTCTAATAGCTGCAGAAGAATTTTATAGTCGGTATGCAGAAAGGCTGAGTGCATTAATGAAATATTACGACATAAAGTATGAGGATGAGATATTGACAGGGTACATGAGGAGCCGTCAGGCTTATTTGAATGATAAGAGAAAGTATGAAGATATGAAGGACCGGATTTTAATCGCAGTAAATGGGCTTCATAAAGAGGTTGAAGAATGGTTCAGGAGTAGTTGTAATGAGAATGAGTTTAAAAGGATGGCAGCAGCTTGGTATCATGTAACTTATCAACCAAAGTACTCCGGCTCTGGAATTAAGTTTCTGAGCTTCCCATGGGCAGTATGTGATGTTCTGCTGAGCATTAAAGCTTCAAAAACTAGTACGAGTCAAGAAGTCAATGATGGGGGCTCGATGATGTAAATATGTAAGTGACTTTCCTGTTATGTTTTCCTTCTTTAATCAGGTTTAGTGGTGCTATATAATGCCAAGTATATATTTAGTAAGTTGACTCAGCCTGGTAGTAAACCTTTATTAGAGTAGAATTTAGGAATATACATAATAAAGAAACTGGTATCTGTATACCACCAACCTCATGAGCTTTTCTTGTATGCATACTCAGGAATCTACTACAGCTAATTAAGTCTAACTTAAATTGGAATTTCATGGCTTTACACCAACTATTTCTGCTGACCATGAGTTCAAGTCTGTTGCAACTACTTGGAGCTTTGTTAATTATAGCAATTATTATTAAAGAATGATAATTGCTATGAAAATAATTTCATGGTTAGATCGCTAGATAACTAATTGTCACAAGCATGTATTTGAGAGGATGTTGATTGTTCAAGTAAATAACGATTACATCTCGTGATGGTGGAAGTTAGGAGGAGGGTCATGATCAGCATATTTAAGACAGCAAAGAGCTAAGGTGTGGTGACATTCGCGAGTGTGAAGGATATCCATACAGTTAAGTCAAAACAACCAAAAGGTTTCTCAAAACATCATGCTTTGATTACTGACATGCGAGAATATGCAATGTCCTTCCGTGTTACATTAGTTTCTCATCCATACTACCGTCATGGTGGTTGTGAATTCAGACAAACTATTCAATGCTTATGCCACAAATAATCCGGAATACGCCACTGGGATTGCCTAGTCTGCTGAGATTCGAGTGCCCTTCTACTCAACATGTGGTGCATGCCGGAGTTTAAATTGAGATCCATACCCCTCGTACCTCCGGGGGTTTACCTGGCCTGTGGCAGGACCTGTAGAGTTGTACTGGAGGCGCTGACGTGAAGCAGTTGAAGTTATTCCAGACGGGATTCGACGACCTCCGTGCCTCTCCCCGAAAAAGGTACTCTGGACCTCTCAGAAAAAGATTCTGGAGTAGAATAGAGATAGAGCAATCAATGTCCACGAGGAGCTGTCCAAATTGGACTCTCTCTCTCTCTGCCCTCCTGATAGCGGAGCGATAAGCGACTTCAGAAAATATCAAGTGATCTCCCAAGAGCTACAGTACTTGATTAATTGATCCGTTGATGCATCTCCCTGTACTCAAAAAAGTGATGTATCTGCTACCTCCCTTATTGGGCCCTCTTTCTCTTCTAGAACCTGAGTGTGAAACTAAGATTTTTCACAATCCATCTTGTGGAAACGCTAGCTATCGCTGCATATGGTGATCATCTCATGTCATTTATAGCATAATCTAAGACGAAAGGGTCTAACAGACTAAATCCACTACACAATTGTCCTCTCTTGATTTATTAAAAATAATAATAATAAGAGGGTTGATTAGTTAGTCTAACATTCGACTCTCCTGGAAAGCGCACTCGCAGAAGTTTAATATTCCGAAATACCCGGGGTTGGTGCTCGAGGTCGTGCGTAAGAGGTTGCTCCTCCGTCATCACCAGAATTTAATTTTCCGAAGGACCCGAGGTTGTACTCGAGGTTGTCGTGCATGAGAGGGTGACTGAAAATTCATCGGGTGCTTTGAAGTTCCAACTATATTATTTCGATCACAATAACCAGGACTTTACACCTTTTAACTCACTCTATTGCCCTGAACGTAACAAATAAAATGATATGTTTATACGACAAGCGAAAAAAAAATTACAATAAAGGAAGCTATTTAAATACACATTTCAAAAACAACCCAAAACAAACAAAACAAATTACCAAAAAATATAGGAAAATATCCCAAACGCTAATGAACGGCCCCAGCCACCGCCTGCGGCGGCGGAACGAAC